TTACAGTCTATATCAGTAACATCACAGTGAGAGTCAGAATTGTCTGTCTCTTCCTGAAATACCTGCAGTATTAATCTGTTATCACTGGCTGTCTGTAGCAGCAGCATCTCTCTGTGCCTATAGGAATATGGCTTCCTGGCCAGTCACTTTCAGTCCTTTTTGTCCCGGGATCTGTGTGCCTGTATAATTGTTTGGTCACAGTCCAGTGCACCCCCCCCAACTGTGCTAAAACTGTCAAACTGTAATTTTGGTCTCTTTGCTTAAAAGTATCTGATGAACAATTATTAAACAGTAGAGGAATGTCCCCATTATGTGTTAACATTCCAGTAGCAGATTTGTTTCTCTTTCACCGAATCTTCAAAACTAAACGTACTTTTTTCATATTTTTCAACACTGAATCTAATAACAAATATATTTAACTATTTAAAAACTTCACCAAAAAGTGTCAGTCTCAGGTAACTTTATTTCATGTTTTCAAGGTTTTTAAATGGATGATTGTTGCATTTTCGTCAGTCACGTTACCAAAACCTCAAGCAACTGTTTAAATGTTATTTAAAAATAATTTAATCTACTGTAGTTCTTCTGTGTTCCTCTCAATATAGCGTGTATTTTAAAGAAATTATTGGTTACATGTTCTAAAAATATATATTTGTGGTTAAAAAAACAATTACTACACAGGGGTGTGAAAAAAACACGTTTCAGATCATCAAACAAATTTTAATATCAGATAAAGATAACTAGAGTAAATACAAAATGCAGTTTTTAAATGATGATTTCATTTATTGAGGTAAAAAAGTTATCCAAATCTACCTGGCCCTATGTGAAAAAGTAATTGCCCCCTAAATGTAATAACCAGCAATGACTCTGTCACATCACTGTATAAGAATCTTGGCACACTCTTCTTTACAGAATTGTTTTAATTCAGCCACATTGGAGGGTTTTCGAGGATGAACATGCATCTCAATTGGATTTCAGGCCGGACTTTATCTAGGCCAGTCCAAAACCTTATTTTTGTTTTTTGAGCCATTCAGAGTCTGGCAAATATGCATAAAAATAAGTAAATACTTTTTCACAGCACTGTATATGTGTGCAAGTTGTACCTTTCTCTTTATTTGAGCAACAGGACAGAATAACAGGACTGAGTTTCAGCATAAAATCTGCAAATTCGTGAATCATAGCCACATGTCATCAAAGCTAATAGCATGATAACTCTACATTCAAGTAACTTACCAAAAAGGTTTTTTTCAAATAAATAAGTAAATAAATAAATAAATTCTAAGAAATAATTTGGTAAACAGGACTGAACGGTGAGTTCAACTGCCTCAGACATGCTTACAATATCATCAAAAATACAGGAAATAAAGTCAGAGAAGTTAATTTTGGGTTTATTTGTGGTCTTCAGGCGACTGAGATGATGCAAGTTCCAGGCCAACATGTCATTTGGGGAAAGTGCCAAACGTTTTTAGGGGCAGAAATGTATCAGGATAACAGGACTGAGTGAAAACCTGGGGGCATCACTAAAATGTGTATTTTAACTAGCATATTATTGATTTTCAGTAAGGAAATTTTATTTAAGGGATAACCAGAAAATACTGTCACACAACAATACAAAATAAGTAGGGAAAAAGATTTTTGAAGGTTTTTAATCATATTTTATGGCGAAGTGTTGCATTAGTGAGCAGGGACAGGTGACATATTTTTTTCAGCGTTCTAGGTAGTTCTCATTAATGTTTTATGGTATGTATGTTAAATTTGCAATGAGGACATTGTAGAGGACACTTTGCTTGATAATATCCTGTATTATAAAGATACTTTTCATGCATATTTATACCTATAATGTCATGGGGACAGCAATGGTACAGATTCAGTGGTAGGGCCCTTATATTAGATTATTTTTCTGTCCTTAGACCCACCAGTAATCAAAGAAGGGACCGTCAGTGTGACTGTACCCCAGGGTGGGACGGTGTCTCTGTCCTGCAGCGCAGAGGGGAAACCCCCTCCTCAGGTCCAATGGAGCTACAGAGATGCTGGGAATGTGAGGGTCACCAGCTCTGGGGGCAACAGCACTGCTGTCATCACAGAAGCCTCATCTGCCAATGAAGGGGTTTACAACTGCAGTGCCACTAACAGGCTGGGGAGTGACACTGCAACAGTGTTTGTCACCGTGACCAGGACCAGCACCAGACCACCACCAGACACAACAACAGCGTTTGTCACCGTAAGCAGCACCAGAACCCCACCCATCACAACAAGATCACAAATGGCAGGTAAACTGTACATTACTTCCCACATTCGATTTTTCAGCTTTTAAACAGCCATTGAGGGTCAAAAGCAAAAGTCAGTTTTGGATATTAAAACTGTTATCCACTTATTAATCTCAGTACAGTGCATGTCTTCTGCCTGACAGTGACGTCTGTCAGAGGAAGCGGTCTGATCTGTCCTGGGGCTGCAGACACTCAGGGTCCGAAACAGCTTCTGCTGTCAGGCAGTGATGCTGCTCAACTGCTGATCAGACTGTTAGGACAGCGAGTGTGAACAATTTCCACATTTTTACACACTTCTACTTTTATCTTTTACTATTTACTTATTTAATTCTGTTCACTTATTACTTAATACTTTAATATAACAAGCTCTCAGGAAAGCTCATTTCATTATTTGCATCCACTGCTGTATGATATAAAGTTATTTGATGAGTAAACTTTGATCGATTGAATATAAAGGCAGATTTAGGATGTTACGGTCAGAGCACAGCCTGGTATAGAGAGCAATGAGCACATGTGTCAACGGTGTGAAGAATAGACCACAAAATGATCCAAACGGCTCTTAAAGGAAATAAATAAAGAAACACGGTGATGGCCGGGTGGTATGTATGTCGTCGGTTCACCGAACAGGCAGCTGGAGTATCTTCCGAATAATCGGCCCGGGATAGAAGCAGATTAAACGTCGAATGGGTTTTCAAAAAAAATGCCAATCTACCTAAAACTTTCCACTTCCTGCATCCCGTCTTACTCCTCTTGTCCAATCATATTCCTCCAATTTCAAATATTTAAACTTACACACAAATGGCAGATTCTAAACAATATTAGAATTGCAAATAAATAGATAAGTCAATAAACGTAACACGTTCTACTACAATAATCTTACAGTACTATCGGCATCGTGTTGCTAGGATACCAATACATATCTTCTCCTTAATCCGTGGCCTTGGAGTTACACCAGATGGAAGCATTTATTGATTTCAGAATTTAACAGTCTCACTGGACGTGCTTCTGTTTTTCTGTTTGGGAAGTTGCTTCTTGAAGGATTTCTATGCACCTTCGGCAGTGCAGGTCTCTCTTAACTTCTTCCCAGCCTTGACTGCGCTTCCCTCAGCATATTCGATATGTGCAGGATTTACCCCAGCTAGCTAATCTCTTCCACAACAGTAGTGATATATGAAGACACCAAATCAGGGAACTTGCAGTAATTAAAAAATCTTACATTTTTTGGCTTTATACCAAACAATGAGGTGGTGCCCTGCAATACAGAGAAGAAAAATACTTTTGAGATATGGAGAAACAATATCACCAAACATGCTGAAATAACTTTTTAAAAATAGTTTAATTAAATCTCCATGTTTTGCTTTTGCAGCTGCTGCTGATGGCTGTCTTGAGCTCCATCCTCCCAGAGTGGTGGTGAGACATGGAGACCCAGTATCAGTGAACTGCACAGTGTCCACANGGGGGGGGGGGGAGGCGAGCTGAAGTCATGTTCCTGAGTAAGAAAAACAGATAATAATAGCGCATGAAATAACCAGAATATATGGGTTGAACTAGTAGCCGTACCTCGTAATTTAATCTGACAATTGTTTAAGAACCTTCCCCAGGACGAGTCGTGCTTGATCGTTTGGTAGTTTTTGTTTCTTTCTTTTTTATATAATGAGCGAGCTGCGTGTGGGGTTTGCAGTTGAAAGCTTTAAGGGAGTAAGTTACTTCCCACAGAGGGGGCGGGTTTGTGAAACAGTATTTTAGTATAAGCACGCGAGGAAGGAAGGTGATTTCCCGCAGCTGAGAAGGGGGAGAATGAAAAACGAGGGTCGCTTCGTTTCTGCCTCATAATCGCCGGGTCTTCGTGCTACGAGGCTGCCTTTGGGGTCGTGCTAAGGAGGCCCTCTCCGATATCTGCGATCCGGCCACGGGAGTCCTTAAGCCTGTTTGGAAAGTGAAGCGACGCGCTGCATTCCCAGTTTTCCCAGGATGGAAGTTATAAGCCGCTGTCTCCCGGTCTTGCTCGCTGTGGCACAGCTGTTTTTCTTTGAGTCTAGATCCAGTAAGTATGTCTGCGGTGACCTATTTTTGTAGCTAACCAGCAGTCTTTTTCGCTTAATATTTCTAGTTATGTATTTTCTGTTTTAAACTTAATATTATTTCTCGTCGAACCCCAAGATCGCGGTCTTGCCCGGTTACAACTTTAAATGCAACCGTGGTAAAAATGTTTATGAAATAACAATAGCTTAATGAAAATAAGCTTGAGAGGCGTCTTCTATTCAGATATGATTTAGCTCAAAAACTCTAAGTGTATATGCGTAAAACAATTACTTAATATGTAAGGTTATCATGTGATGGATTTTTTTACCACGTAGTTTCCCGTTTCTCCTTTCCTCCCGTGAAGAGGAGTTTTACTACCGATAGGGAGACCCGGATTTTATTTTTTTTTTACTCTGTACAGTTTGACCTTAAATTACGATCCACCATCACAGATTTCGTAGCGTTCCGAATATTAGGATGTTATATCATCATGTGGGTGTGTATGGTAAGCCGTTTTAATATTTAATGAAGTCTCCTAGTCAAAATTGTATTCTTACTAGTCATAGATATCCACTATCACATTCTTCCTAGTAGAACATGTATTTCAAGATATCTAAAACTTTATTTCTCCTAGTCACAATTCCATTTAAGATATCTTTAAATCTTTACAAAGTAGAAGTGGCGGTTTTAACATTTAATCGCTAGACTGGATATGTGTTGCAAATATATCTGTAACTTAAGTCTTCCTAGTCAAAAAGAGCATTTCAGATATCCACATCGTCACTCTTCCTAGGAGAAATAACATCGCTTTTGCCATTCATGTCTATTGTTGTTTTAAATTCAGATATCCACAGATATATTTCAGATATCTAGAATGTTCATTCTGGATATCTGCAATTGAATTCTTACTCGGAAAACCCCCCATTTCAGATATCTACAATCCATTTGTTACTAGTCATAATCAAAAAAACATTGCAGATATATATAATGTAATTTTGAATATCCAAAAATACATTGTGAATAGTAAACATGACATTACAGATATTCACAATTCATATTATGACTAGTAAAAATGCAATTGCATACATCTGCAATGAGTTATGCCTAGGAACAATGCAAGTAGTAAGAATTCAATTGCAGATGAACATTCTGGATATCTGAAATATAATTGTGGATATCTGAAATTAAAAGCCCAATAGACATGAATGGCAAAAATGACATAATTTGTTCTAGGAAGAGTGATGATGTGGATATCTGAAATGCTCTTTTTGACTAGGAAGAATTAAATTGTGTATATTTGCAATACATATCCAGTCTAGCGATTAAATGTTAAAACGGCTTGCCGTAGGTGTGATTCTATATGGGTTTCTTAGTGTATACGCAATGACATTTCCACTTAGTTACGTAGATATCCTGTAATTTTCCCATGCCCTCTGCATTTCCCATTGTATCACAATTTACATAACACTCAAATATAAATATAGGCCTAAGGTACCCATAAAACAGGTTATATTATGGTTGATCATAATTATTCAGTTATTCGTTTAATAGATTACCAAACTAAAAAGTATTCAAGCCGGTCATCAGAATAAAATAACATCTTTATTTTTCATTATCGTTCATTTTGAACTTTCCGTAACTTTTCGCTACCATCACCATCATCTTGTGATGCGTCAAATCAGGTTCACGTACTGCTGAAAGATTTGTGTCCACTGTTCCGGGTAAAGACTTACACCTACTTATACCATTGCAATGGGCTCACTCCTCTATACCGACAAGCTACCCTGTTTGGTGTGATAGTTTTAGGAATTCGTGCCACCGGCTAACTGAATATTGAAACGTAATATGTCATTTTCCTAAATTTCATGGCGCTTTCCAGAATCGCCCCATGCTGGCTAAAGCAAATGAATTTGTGTTCCTGTTTTTAACAAGCACTATAAACTGGATCCCATACAGAAAATGGATGGATAACTGGCTCCAAGATGAGGCCTTTGAAATGTTTATTATTATTATTATTAATATTATCAGTGTAGCAAATTCATAGCAAAAAATAGGTGGAAAGCAATATAAAGATTAATTTTTTTTATGCTTTCACAGCTGCTGATGGCTGTCTTGAGCTCCATCCTCCCAGAGTGGTGGTGAGACATGGAGACCCAGTATCAGTGAACTGCACAGTGTCCACAGATCACAGAGGGATGGGCTGGACAGCTCCAGTAGATGACGTACCTAATACACCTGATGTCCAGTTTCTCACTTGGAGGGTGGAAAGTCTGACAATCTGGGACTTAAGGCCTCTGTGCTATGCAAACCGTCTAGGAAAACCTCAATGTATGCAACGTCTCTCAGTCACTGTGTACAGTAAGTGTGTCTCTTCTGATGGAGCTACTGCAGCTGTCAGCTCTCATACACCTGGGAAATATTCAACCTGAGCATCACCTTAAAACATCAGTAAAACCCAGCAGAATATTTCACTGTAAGGCATGGATGTCTCTCTGTGTCTCTGTTCCTATAAGGCACAGCTGTCTCATTTGTGAGTTATTATTGAGAAATAATGCTTCTCATTTTCCCTCACAGAACCCCCAGACAGTGTTTCTGTCAGTTCTGTGAACTCTACTGACCCCATGGTGGAGGGGAGTCAGTACCAGCTGAAGTGTGAGATCCAGAACATCGCTCCTGTTCAGAACCTCACTGTGAAGTGGTACAAAGGGGACACATTAGTACATGAAGACAGAGACTGTGTCATAGAAGATGGAAAGTCTGACAGAGAAAAGGAACCTGTGAGTGTGTCCTCCACCCTCCTGATCACCCCCAGCAGAGCTGATGATGGAGCAGAGTACAGCTGTGGGGCAGAACTGGACCTGGGACCAGAAGGACCACAACCCCCCCTTGAAGAGAAATCGATGCCCCTCAGGGTCACTGTGCACTGTGAGTACTGACTATGCATAAAACTTTGAGCATATTTAAAGTTTTGTCACCAATAATCTTTGCTGCCTGTAGATGTGGATAGTTCATTCACATTTTACATTTGGTTTATTTTGGCGGCACATTTGTACAAAGTACAGTATAAGTCATGATATAATTCATATTAAATGTATTTCTTGTGTTCTTGTGTTTACCAGATAAACCCACTATCAACCAAATAGACACCCTGCTCCTTGTGTTGCGCGGTAATTCTGCTGTGTTAAACTGCAGCGCTAAAGGGAATCCCCCCCCAGATATTGTTTGGATCTTCAATAACGAGTCAATAACGCAGAACGGCATTTACACCATCTCTGAGACAGATGATGGGGGAAATTATACCTGCAGGGCAAGTAACTCTGTAGGAATCCATGAGGAAACAGTGCGGGTGATTGTTACAGGTATGACACTTGCATAAATACCTGTCATGACTTCCTTTCTCTCTGCTCCACTTCCTCTATCACCTGCTTCTCTTGCTGTCTTTGCAGTGTCTCTCAGGTTATGAATTATGATTTTCATTAAAATAACTAGATGTTTGCTAAATATTCACCATAATTCTCCAGTGTATTATGTAGTGTATAATCCAAAGTGGAGTTAACTTTTGGTTTTCCTCTCAAAATCAATAATTGTTAATTTGCACTAATATAAGTACTTGTTTGTAACTGATGAACATTAAATTGATGGGCTGCAGTTCTTTGGCTATGAACTTTGCTTTTAGAGGTAATTTCAGACACAGTAAGAGTAGTCTTTACTAAGTTCCATTTTTGTTTTGCGCTATATATATGGTACTGTGCAAAAGTCTTCAGTTAGAAAATTATTTTTAAATTATGTACATGTTGTAAAACTATGATATTATGTCTGTCTAACCATACAATATACCCACATATATGTTGACTTGAGATATATATATAAAAAAATACATAAAAAGTTATTTTTTGTCTAATGCAGAGAACTACATGCCGCTCATTGCCGGGATTTTGGTCGTGTTGGTGCTGGCCATCTCCTTGGCATTCTGTGTAATCTACTCCATCTACTACAAGAACAAAAAGATGGGCCACTACAGCCTGAAGAATGTCAAGCTTTGCACCCAAAATGGCAACGTGGCCCAGAATGGCAAAGACAACAGCTTACCGATGACCAGGCTGCCAGAGGAGAAATTCTGTGCTTAGAGCTTCCAAGGCCTGTTTCACTTCAGGTGGATTGTTCTCCACGGATCTGTGACAGACTGCACAGGACTTCACTGATACACTGCACTGGGTCTGAGACCGCAGCTTATGGTCTGTTCCTCCTGAGAGAGACCTGCTCCTGTTTTGTGACCTCCTTTCTCCGGAGCCTGTTTGATAATTGTCCCACTGGCAAAGCGCTTTCCTGTCCCACAATAACCCAGGGATGTCACTTTGGAGCCGGGGCCTGTTCACATCGCCGTATTTTTTAATAGCTGACTTTTATTCTCGTGTAACAACTTAAAAATACAAGGGAGAGCAAACAGTAGTGAAGTAAAAAGTGCCAAGCCAGGAGATGGTACACTTACCCACCAAGTTTGCAAATTCCACAGCTTGGAGAGTATATTTTATTTTAAAAACTGCCGAATTTTATGAAGGATTGTACAAAGTGTCATTTTTTTCCCCCCTGAGGCTTCTTTTGAAACCTGTCCTTCTCATATGGTCCAGTCTACAGCCTACATTTCAGGAAGCTTGCTAAGACTCGGAGGTAATCTGCCTATACAGTAATGTTATGCACTAACTGTTCCAGTCATACTTGAAAAATCCCAGGAGATGTATGTGTCCGCTAGATATAGCGCCTTTCATTATATTTACACTGCATAGGGTTGCACATCTATAATCGGTGTCCCTTTCCGGTCAGGGTCCCGCTCCCAGCCCATCCAGCCTAAATGATTTCCTTCCACTGAATCAGGTCACCGTCAGTTCCAGCTCACCTTCCGGGTGTGAACCGTTAACCTATCCAGCTGTATTATCACCGTAGATTCAAATAAGCTACTGTCTGTCTACCTGTATATTTTCTAGCAAAGACATGCAGACAGGTGTTACATAGACCAGAAGCAAAAAGTATTAAAGTTTGCAAAACATGTGCCCTTTCATACTTTTTAGTCAGAATTTGTAAAATTGGATTTGTAACAAGCTAAAAGTGCTATTTTTGTAAAAATAAATACAAATGTTTTTCATAAATCCTTCGATTCGTTTGGTTCCCCTGATGCTCCCTTTATAGCGCGTTAATGTTCTTTATTTTAGTAAGAGTCAAACGACATTCCTGCAGGGGCCGCACGTCAGCCTGTCATCCAGATTGGATACTAACAGCTTGAATTGTTTGTGTGACAGTAAGTGAATGAAGCTTTCAGTTTAACAATGGCATGAGTATGTACCAAGTCAAGGAAAAACACAACCTCCCATCTAATGATACTTTTGACACACATTTGCTAGAAACAAAGTTTTTAAGGGCTTCATGGAAATTCTATTAAGGAAATGACCTAGGAAGGAAGGATGTGGGGAGGGTATTTAAGCTGTCTTTATCAGTCTCTTCCTGGTGACACCCTTTAGATTTAAACTCTATTCCATTTTTTTGTTTTTGTGATGAGACCACCTGTTATCTAAAGTCAGGCTTCCTCATATGTTGCAGTATAGGCAATCGACACTACCTCAGTGTTCATGTAATTCCTCAAAGAACATTTCCAAAATTCACTAACTCCACTGTAATTTTCTTATAAACTTTTCTTAGAATTTTGAAATTCTAAAGTTGCCGACTGGGGCGTGGTTGTTCACTTGTTTTGCTCCAGGCTTTCTTTGTCACTTGATTTGCGTCGTGCCCGTGTGGCATTGGGATTTACGGAGTAACAGACATATCATCCTAACTGCAGTGAAAACGCAGGTGAGGTGGGTGATGGGAGAAAAATCTGTATAATTTGAAGAAAGCAGTCAACTATCAAAAAAAGGCGGAGTCTCCTTTGTGGTACGGATAACTGGCATATTTTCAAATATGCTTCCTTTATACAAACTTGCAGACCACCAGGGGGTGGGGGGCATTTTGCCTTAGCGTGTGACATTTGCATCTCATGGCCATGAAATGACAACATGGGCTAAAACATGTGAATCTCACGGGCAACATGACACTTGGATGACTGACCTATGGACTTCGCCTCTGCAGTCCTCGCTAACACCATTACTGGAGCTTTTATTTATGGCTTTTATCAACAAAAGTTCAGTGTAATGAGAAAGCGAAACACAGAAAGCATGATGCAAATTCCTTGGGCTGCCTGATCCAGTGCATCGGTGTTGTAATACTAACAGACCTATGCTCTGATTTCACCTCTGGGAGGGTGGGGCCTTTCTGGCTGTCTGCCCCACTGCTGCTAATGCATCGTACTCTATTTCAAATGTGAGTGGGAGAATTTTCTGGATTGATTTCCCATGACTTAGGGACTCAACAGATCATCCAGGAAAGCACAAGAAACATTTTCTGGGTTTACTTCTTGAAAGAATCCCACACATCTTATCTTGGAACTTTTCTCATGTCTAGAAAGATCTCACAGCAGTGCTCAGTAATCTGTGACCCCAGTATTGTTTAGTTAGCAGTGTAACTTGAAGAAGGTACCCCCAAATGAAAATTGACCTGGGGCATCAGACCGTTACTTGCTTGGGGGGGCGGGTGGTGACATAAACCAGATGCTCATACCAACACTGTACATGTACAATGTTTTTGTGGACCTACCGGCAACTGCTCTACAGGCCACCAGAGGGCAGCAGACCCCAGGTTGGGGACGATGCAGGGGAAGCCATAGGTGGCATGTCAGTCCATTGCAGGTTACTTATACAGTAACACACAGCAGGAGGAAACCTGTCCAAACACAGGGATCAGAGGAGGTGTAGGGGAGCTTATGAGAGCACTGGATTCATTAGGTGGGGAGAGCGAAACCAGTCCCAAAGACAGCCATTTACTGTACACATCCAGTGTAAAACAGGGGTGAGGCTGTTTGGGATGGAGAACCAAGGAGTCACTCCCTGCTACGCTGCCCACATGTAGCTCATGATGTCACCTCAGGCATGTACACACATGCCACATACTCCGGTGAACAGATAGGGAGACACTGTGGAACAGAGCAGAATGCATTTGTCACCATGTTACAGTTACCAAGTACAGCAAAATGTCTAATCTGCAATTCCCTGAGTGATATTTAATATTACATTTAAAAAATACATAATGTGCATTGATTCTTTATATATACAGTATAGAAATGTAAAGGTATACAGTGACAGATTGCCTTTTTGCATATGGTAATCTATATTAATAGTACACAATAGTAACAGTATAACACTAGAAACTATAGTGTGTTACTGACACTCATAGCAATAGTGATGGTGCAGTAAAAACAGGATGATGGCATTAATATTAACAGAATGGTAGGGGTTTGCTCAGTGGGCTGTGATCTTGATATAGGCTAACATAATCAGGGCTCTTTTCCATCGCACCAGATACCATACTTTTGGTACTTTCTGTACTTTCCTTTTTCCATTGATTTCCATTTGAGTACCAGTACCAAAAGTTCCAGTACATAAGTGCCAAATCGGTAGGAGTAATTTTTTGGTACTTCAGGGTGTGTTGCTATTTCTTCTCATTTTGTGAGTTCCTATCAACAGTTGGCATAGTTGCTGTGGAATTGGCCTCAGGCAATGCTGAACTCTGGCCAGACTTGAACCCACGGTATTTAATGGGAAATATGAACTGCAGCCACCCACTCAGCCCATTAAGGCCCTCAGCAGCCAGGAGAACACACTAGGAGCTAAAGACACTGGGATAACCAGAAACATCTGCTCGCCACTAGGGGAACTAACATAATAAAAGGGGTAGGACAGGGACTAATCCTGACAGTTAGAGGATGTAGGTAAATCTGCTTTCTGGGGGATTAAAGTTCATAGAAGCATGTTAATCTGGATGACTCCATACCACTTGACAGGCATCCTGGATGTAAAGGAGTACATCACAAATTTCCACAGTCCATGTTAGACAGTCTATGTTGGATAGTCTATGTTGTATGTTTTGTGTTGCATGGTTGATATCACAAGGTCTATGCTTGGACCAACTTGTTTTATCTGTGATTACAATCCCTGGCTTTGTCCTAAAATGTAATGTTATTATTTGGAATTTTGTAGAGAATAAATTAAACTGGAAAGTGATAGATGACAAGCTCTATAGCCTCCTCAAGCAATGGACGCTGTGGACGGTGACGTTTCCAGTTATCATCATTCTTGGTGCTTTTTTACAGGTAGGGCTTTCATCACCCTCCTGCGTGCGGGAAGGAACACCTCTCTTTGGAGCAGTTTTCTCCTTATCAAATCAAACCTGCAACTTCACTTGAAGCACCACTGACTACACGGATGATCTCATTTTGAGTCATGAAAGAACCTAGTGTTTTTGAAAGACTCAAGGTGAATGAGGAAGAGGACAGCCAGCAGCAAGGTGGACAGTTTCAACCATCACAATGACTGACACTCACAGACAGCCTTAAAATTAAGGACAGAAGACAGAAAGTTTATGAAAAATTTCATCAAAATGGTCACTAGCAGGCAACATTGACATCTACTGGTAATAACATGCAGGAACTTTTTCCAAAACAGTGCAACTGTTCTCACAAAAGAGTCAGAGAGTTTTATGACCTGGAACAAACCATATTCAAGAAGTGAAACTACCCTTGTCAAAATTCTCTCTTTAACCATTTCCTATATAAGGACTCCAGCAGTGTTACATTTTACAGGTTAACATTTTTAGTACACATCCAGTAAATCTGCAGTTCACATCTGCAGTTATTCTTGACTGCCAGTGAGTCAATGTGAAAGGTGAGCCTTTGAGTCCATTTGATCAGCAAATTATTTCAGAAGGACAGACCATCAAGCTTTTGGACATGCCTCACCAAATACCCTGGAGAATGTCCTGCTTCCCTGCATGGACAAGATATGCAAATGTATGCATATGAGGAAAAAAACAAACAAACTACAACCACTGAAGATCGTATAAGTTTGGTTTTAACACTGGTGGGGATCAAATCAGCCGTGAAAACCCCGCCCCCCTAAACACTCCTATAATTCCTACAATATATTAGTCCCTACAGTTCATACGAAATCGACACCCTTGTGACTGTTTCAATTCAAATATGAGCGGTTTTTGTGGAAGGAAGTTGTTCATGCGCGATTTCACACCGCATAAGCCACGAAAAGAATTACAATGAGTGCACGCCATGTCACGCCACTCCCTATAGATCCCTTCGTCAGCGCAAGAGGGTTCGCTATCGCTGAGAGGGAGCAATGCTTTAATGGCGATGGAGTGGGGAAGATGGCCCGCACTCGCCGCTCGCAGACTCGTCCTTGTCGCCGCTATCTGCGCCTTCACAGGTAGGACTTTGGTCGGGGCTTCGGTGGGTCCGGGGATCAGCCATTGCAAATCGTTTATGTTCTTTATAGTAAGTAACTAATTCATTTTATTTATTGGAGGAGCGCTCAGAAAGTGAAAGTCTTACAATAAATGCAGCACATGTCAAATGTTTGTCTAAATTGCGTGTTCGATTAAATAAAAAGAATAGTTCTGATAATATTTCTATTGAAACTTCTGAAACGACAATGAAACTGATTTTATTTGTTAGCGGAAATGTGGATCCCGATCTTTCGAGGGATTTCTCTGATTTCTAGTGTCCTCCTGCTTTCTACGATGACCTCGATCTCCCCCATTTTATTACGCTATTTTATATGCAAATTCCTGTGATAAATTCATGAGTTAAATTAGTGAATAAGGGCATTTCTTTCTCCATTATAAGTTCCTAAATGGTATGACAGATGTTCTGGAAACGTGTGAAGAACAATCAGATTTTACACTGTTATCTAGGAAAGGAACAAAATTCTTTTTTCATTCCATCAAAATCTCTTTCGAAAGGTATTTCATTTCAACTTACATTTGAATTGTGTTTCTCCGTTGTACTCTACAGTAACTAAACTAAAGCTCTGGACATTTCTGTAGAGCTGAATACTGTATAAATACCGCGTCTGGTTGTTTTGGACAGGCGCATTGGTAGGGGCGTCTTCTTCCTCTGTAAACACAAGATCCCGGAGAGATGAAGGGGATTCAATGTACGGTAGCCTAAAGATTTTTTTACAGTGAAGTACAGTAATAGTATTGTAGCATCGGCGGGACGCATGTTCTATAGCATGCCCCGCGTGCGGTTGTAAATAACCCTTGTTATATTGTTGTTCTTGTCAATGTTAATGTTTGCACTCCCTTATTGTCGCCCGTGTCTTATGTGTACCCTCAAAGAGCGTGCTCTCCCCGGCAAGCGAGCCTCAGTGTCTCTGTCTGCTCCCGCCATGCCTCGGTCCGCCCGACGCCACAGTATATTCTGCTTATTTCACTATGTTATGAACGTTTACACTTCAGTCACCATTCACAGTACCTGGACTGGCTGGCTGCCTGCCTGCCATTTTACCGGTGGCAGAATTCATCATTGGAGAACCAAAAGTCCAGGCAGATTTTTAATCCCAGTCCAGCCCTGGTTTTCCGTCTTCCTGGTATGAACGATGGTGATCCACACACATGAGGCTGAAGTGTTTGCTCAGCTTTTCTCGGGGACAGATCATGTTTGATCATATAATCATTGAAAGTTGCTTCTTGCTCAACTGTGAGTTGTTTGAGTGTCCTCTATTACTTCTCATCAGTCTTCCTCTACTTTGTCTGTTTACTCTCTGGTCACCATCTCCTACCTCTCGCCTACTTGTTACTTCTCCTGTATGATTAAGATGGACTTTATTGTGGGGTTACCATACCCGGACATGTCTTTTTTTTGAGCCTCTGTTCACACGTCCGGGCGGTTTTTCAAAAATAAGCTGTTTTTACTGCAACCCGTATGACCCAGTGTTGCAAGTTACAGTGGAGAACCAAGAGAAGGACAAGGCACCAGTTTTCAATATACAGCAGCCACTCAGTATCATCACACAGTGTTTGCAAGGCTTGTGCATGCTTTTGCATTAAAAATGAGATGATATGCACATCGCTATGTGTCACGAGTGATGTCAACCTCCGGAAAACATTGGCAGTTCGACACTTTATTTTTGTTTTTGTGTGAACAGTGAAGCTATTTGTAGATTGTGTGTAGATTGTAAAATGAGAGTTAACTCTAAGGTTACCATACGTCCAGGTTTCCCCGGATGCAAATTTTAATTTTACATGGTGGATAGAGAAAACTCATTAATACCTGACTGGTTGGTGAACTTTAAAACTCTAAACTTATTCTGAAAAATCAATATTGTAATATTACCAAAATAAATATTCACAGATAAGAGTAATAATAAATTGGTGATGGTAAAATAGATAGAGTGGATAGCATCGGATTTTCTTTGTTATAACGATGAGTCACTTCCTGACATGTTATGACTGGTGTTGTGTCTGATGGCAGCAGACAGGGAAGATCCCCAGCTGTGCTTTTAAGCACCATGGTGGAATGAGCGGGAACTTCCCCGTTAATATCTATCCGTCTTCTGGACCTGCTTGTCCTGTTCAGGACTGCAAGGAGTCTGGGGCCTATCCTGGAATCTATGGGTGCAAGGCAGGGAATAACCCAGGATGGGGTGCAAACCCAGGGCAGGGCTCAGTCACACACCAGACACTCACACACCACTCACTCATGCACCCCCCTGGAGCACTGAACCCCATGAAGACACGGCGGGGGGGGGGGGGGG